TATTGATGAGAGCATGTCATTGTTTTGTTTCTGTTAACATTGTCATTGATATTTTTCAAGAAAGTCTATGAGGCATAGCTTATGCATTCCTGTCATTACTACATTAGCATAATTACTGCTAAAATAATTCTCAGTATGATATACCTCTTGTAAGAAATCATTATAACTGTAGCAATCACCAAAAAATCTCAAACAGATCACATTGAATCGTAATCCAAAAAATTATGACGTCTTGAATTAACCACCCCTTTTATTCTAAAACGATAATTGCGGTTGTAAACAGACTTTGGTTTATTCGCATGGCGATTACATATATAACTATATATTTCAAAAAGAAAATAGAGTTTTACCATGAATAGTTTCCTGCACGTAGTCTTTTTCAGTAAAATGTGCCTTGCAAACAACAGCTGATTGAGATGGACTCCACGATGAAATCGTGTTCTCGTCCAATCTGCGTTTGGGCCATGGCGTTGATCCAACTTTTCCTTCTTTTTAAGTCATTTGGAAATGCATGTCCTCCTCTTAAATGACATCCAGGTACACAACAACAAGTACTTGGCATCGTTAATTTAAAATGTAACTGAAATAGTTGCACAGTGCAGAAACCGGAAGTTGAGGAACAGGATCGGCTACCACGGCGCCACCTATTCAGGAACGATAATTTGCTACTTTATATAACTGCGAAATAACAATAACGTTAGACGGGTTCACGTGCATAAACAGAAATGCGCTTTAAATTGTATAATATAATTAATGTTCAGTCGACTCTTAATTATTATATCAACGACTGAAATGATTTATAAACATCTAGATTGCAGATAACACTCGAAATTAACCCGAGCTCTTTCCACACGGAATTCAAATAATTCTAGTTTGTCAATCAGTTGACTGCTTATAATGCAAAATACAAATATATCAAAAGTTTTTAAAACTAACAAAACACAATGATCGTTTCTCTATTTTCCAATGTAAATGAAATGAAACAAAAAACATTTTATATCACAATAAGAAGAGGAGAGAATTCAACATTTCCGGATCTACTTGGAGCCTAATGACCCCCCACGTAGATAAGTTGCATATCGCGGAAGGAAGGATTAACCCGGCAACTAGAAAGGCATTAAAGCACTGCCTTTAAAAACTGCAAAATTTTGTTAAAACTACCAATTTGGTGGCAGCAACCCAACAATGGGTTGTTCGATTCGTCTGAAAATTTCAGAGCTGATAGATCTTGACCAATTGAACAATTTTACCCCCATGTCAGATTTGCTCTAAAAGCTTAAGTTTTTGAGATATAAGCCAAAAACTGCATTTGACCCCTATGTTCTATTTTTAGCCATGGCGGCCATGTTTGTCGATGGATCAAAACTTTGGATACAATTTATAAACTAAATACCCTAAGGAACATTTAGTTAAAGTTTGAAGGTATTTGGCCCAGTAGTTTCAGAGAAGATTTTTGAAATATTTTACGACGACGACGGACGCCAAGTGATGGCGGTGAGCTACAAATGGGAGTGAAATAAATTAGTCCATTTTCTGAATTTTTTTCTGCACTCAATTTTTTCAGTTTGATTAAAATTTTATGCTGAATTGGAACATCTATTTAGATTCACAAAAAAATGTTGCATCTTTTTGGGGATCTAAAATCAGAAAAGTGGAAGGATATCATGTTTACTGGAAGTGGTGCAGACTAGTAAAATCAATAAACAGAAAGTATAAAAAAGCAGTTTTGACTTCAGGGTTTCACAACTTTTTATTCTTCGTGGCATGAGGCACTTTTTTCCCATTAAATCACAATTTCACATTACTATATACATAATATGTACATGAAAAAAAAAATTCTATGTAGAATTTTATTTAAAAAATTTTTCAAAGATCAGCTGTTTTGCATGTACCGGTAAGCATATGGAGCAATCAATTACAAGATTGCAACCTTATGTCCTTATCATCAACAAAGTTCCATGAAATTCTGTTGTGTGGATTCATAGGAGTTGCAATGACAAACTGTTGCAGTAGTATATATAGGCCAAAATTGTAAGTTCAAAGGGGCTGTTGATATGCACATCAGTGAGTAGTACTAGTATGTTCTTATCATCTACAAATTTTCATGAAATTCCATTCTGTGGATTCAGAGGAGTTGCTATGACAAACTGTTGCAGTAGTATATTTAGGCTGAAATTATAATTTCAAAGGGGCATAACTCCTAGAAAAAAAATTGAATCATAATTTCCTGTCGATATGCGGGTCCTACTAAAAAGCGCCCGGGAGCGCCCGGGTGAAGAAAAAGCGCCCGGGGAAAAGAAAAAGCGCCCGGGGTCAGGCTTCTACAATAACTTTTTTTTCAACTTGTCCAGTAGGACAAGTACATACCAAAACTTACTTGTCCGAATGAAATTGTAACTTGTCCAAAAAAATCTTAATAATAAACTTTTTTGCATTTTAAGTTGATTCAAGGAACAAAATGAATTAAAACAATAGAACAGAATTTGATTTATATCTTTTGAAATACTATTCAAAAATATGAGTCGAATACAACTGAATCTAGTCATGTCACAGGACTTAGGTTCTACATGTAGTTCATCAATGCCAAAGTCTCACCAGATTCTGCACATGAGGCACCGTCTGATAGGGCTGTCAATGTACACTCATTGGATTTGTATCCTGGTTTTTTTAAAGTTGAAAAAAGTTTATTCAAATGCAATCAATAAAAAAAAAAGATGAGGTATAATTGCCAATGAGACAACTCTCTGCAAGAGACCAAATGACACATAAATTAACAACTATAGGTCACCGTATTGCAAGTATTGTTTTTTTCTACATTATGATCAAATATGATTTTGTGAATTTAATGGTAAATAATTTTTCATTTTTATCTAAAAAATATTTTTGTTAAAAAAATTACCAGTATGTTATTTATTATAAAGCAACAGAATAAGGTAGGAAAAGGAGGTACTGATTTGTCTTGGTCCCGAAATGTCTCCTGCGTTGCCAAACTGTCTACTAATCATGTCTATTAAATATGTCTCCTATGGTGCCAAACTGTCTATTAAACATGTTAAACTTGGAGCCGAATCGTTTCTGAGCTTGTGACGAACTGTCTTGTAAAGTTACCTTATCTACAAAGCGCATCGCATCACTGATTCGGATCAGTAAGACTGGTTTCCGAGAATAGTATGCATTTTACCTGTTAAAAAGTACCTGACAAAGAACCAGTTTTAAATTATCGATTGCAAGTAAACATGTCTTGTCTTCATCCTTTTTTCTTGTTTTTTGTTTATAATTACTTTGTTCATCAAAGTTGGATTAAATTTACTTTCTGCAGAATAATTTTACTTGTCCCGTCGGACAAGCTTGATATAGTTTTTACTTGTCCGACCCTTTTTCCCTCTGGTACCGGACAATCGGACAAGCGTTATTGTCGAGCCCTGGGGGTAGAAAAAAAAAGCGCCCGGGGAAAAGAAAAAGGCGCCCGGGGAAAATATATAGATATTGTATTGGCATGAGACAACTTTATGTCGATGAAATAAGTTATGCACATTGATTTTTTTTTTATTTTAGACAAGTATTTTGCAAATTCAGATAATAGACACTTGTAATAAAGCACAAAAACAAGTATGAATGTTTCAATTTTAACAATAATATATGAATACTATTTCGAAAGACAGATAATAATGGATCACAGTTTATGCTGAAGATTTATAAAATGTTAGACATCAAAAGACATGTTTTTCAAAAACGATATCAAAATGAAAAATGCAAAAACAACTTAAATTTCACAGATAAATATTAATTTTATAAAATTAAAAGAGTTACACGTTATTTAAGAACGATAAAAGTGACACGCACATGTATATCAGCATTAGCAAATAAAACAATTATACTATGCATGTTAAAAGCAGGTGTTTGGTATAAAACAAATAACATTGAATCACCGTAGTTAAAACAAGGGGGTAAAAAGCAGGAGTTTGGTTTAAATTTAAAACTAAGCATTTAAACACTGATAAGCATAGCCATTAAAACAGTTTTAGTTTTATAAAAAGATATAATAAATCTATATCAGCATCTGCATATAAAACATTTACTATTGTTAGTATTGTACTAAAAGAAAAAAGTAAATATTAAAACACTGATAAGCATAGCCATTAAAACAGTTTCAGTTTTATAAAAAGATATAATAAATCTATATACGCTTGTTTATATTTACTTACTTACTTATATTCAATTTTGAAATCTAAAATGTAAAAGTGCAACAACACTATCTACACACTTTAGATGTAGCATCGTACATATCCTCCATTTATATCAAGGACAAAACAAGCAATAATTTTTTATTCAGGAAAACATTTATTGTTATAAAATATTATTATTTTATTCTCTCGGCGCTTGTTTTTCTTCCCCGGGCGCTTTTTCTTTTCCCCGGGCGCTTTTTTTTCTTCCCCGGGCGCTTTTTCTTTCCCCCGGGCGCTTTTTCTTTTCCCGGGCACTCCCGGGCGCTTTTTAGTAGGACCGCGATATGCACATCTACACAGTATGTCTTTGTCATAATCTACATAGTTTTATGAAATTCTGATGTGTGTTTTGAGTTGCTATAACAAGAACAGGACTGACAGAAAAACAGACCGGCCAAAAACATTTTACCCTACGTATTATAAGATGATATATTAAAGAATATATTATATATTTAAAAAGATAATTTAACCACCGAAAAATAGTAATAAAAAGGAGGTCCCTCCCACAAGCACCTGTGGCAATTTCTCTTTCAGTGTGTTTGTTCCCCGTCACCAATATTAACCGGGCATATAATAAAATGGTTTTACAAGACTTAATTAGTCTCTCATATTAACACATAACTTTGAAATATTGGCTGAAATGTTTCTTTAGCTGTTTAGTATTGTTGTTTTAGTAAATTGACATTTTGTACTATAAAGATTTGTTGACTCCTGATTTATTATGATATAATATTTGTTTGTGTTTGCATTATGATGCCAATCTTTTTCACCTACACTAAAGAAAACTCATCTCTTTGGTCTACATGGATAATCTGTGAACATTTAATCAGCGGGAAAAGGGCGGCAACTGAAAAAATATCTAGAATAGCACCAGCCAATCCCGTGACAGTAACACAAACACATTTAAATTCTTAACGTCAATATGTTGAGGATCACAAGAGGGAACTTGCTCGGGAAACTAAAAATCTGAATATATCTATAATAAATTTCAAAATATTTATTTTTATTTTTGTTGTTGTATAAAGATAAAGATATTTCTATTCCAATTAAAAAAACATGGATTGAATTTGCTTGTTCTAGCATTTATACATTAAGGATTATGCACCAGAACTAAAAAGATCTAAGTCTGGGCTACTACCTGCTTTGGTAAGGAATTCCATAACCTAATTGTTCTTGGGTGGAAATTCGTAATTTGAAGGCAAGAATGGCTGTACAAATGTATGTTTTCTTGAAGCTAATATATAGGTATTGCTTGTTTGAGATTAAGCTGGTCACTCACACTTTGTTCATAGTTTGAACGAAGCGATAATTACAAGCGGATTCCAGTCAGTTAATTTGAGATGGAAGCTAGTCAGTGATGTTGAATTTTGTATAGCATGGTGACTTATGCAAAATTTCTTTTTGTTGTAGTGTTGGTCAGCTTTGATATTCAAGCAAAGAAGTTCCGTAGCTATATCAATTTTAGGTATACCTGGCAGTTCTTCTCGAGATCATTTCGATTTTATTCATTCGTTGTGTGTGCCAGATGTTCTGCTTTTGGTTTGATATTTGTTTTATAAGCTAGTTCTTTGGTTGTTATGCTGTTCGGTGGATTTTGCATTCCTTTTTATAAATGTTAGTGATTGTAATATGTTATTTATCACGGTGTTATATCATTTGTTATAATAATGTCAAGATACTTTGCTTTGTCTTATGATTTTAATATGTGATCGTGTAGTGTATATTAAAAAATCAAAGGTTTTTGCTCATTCTTGTCCCCACTTTTTCAATTTGTGTAAGTCTGACTGAAGGGTGTGACAGTCAGTAAGAGATGCTATTGTTAGATTTCGTCATCTGCAAAACAGAAAATTATTGATTTATGGTTGTCTGGTATGTGATCTATGTAAATTAGAAAAAGACAAGGACCAAGAACAGAGCCTTGAGAGACGCATGACACACTAGGACAACTGCTTGATGTATAACTGTCAACTACCACTTTTTTAAATCTGTATGAAACCATGCCTCTATTTAGACTGGAGTTTTGTTTGTTAATTCCCATACGTTTAAACTTAAAAATAAGTCTTACATGGTCCACTTAATCAAAAACTTTTCAAAAATACACGAAACAACACATTCGGCATAAACCTTGTTCGTTTTATCTTGTTTTACAGAGCAACATATTTAGTCTTTATCAGTTGAACGGTGCTACCCGTTTACTGCATTTGTCAGTTTTGTACAATGCAACATATGTACTGTCTCTTGTTGTAAAACACACGGCAATGCAACCTTTTTACAGGATTTGTCAATTACATGTACAATACAACCTTTTTACTGCCGGAATCAGTTAAGTGGAGGATCCCGGAAAGGTGGAGGGGTCCGGGGGTTGGAACCCCCCTTTTTTTGGACGATCAATGCCTTTGAATGGGGACATATAGTTGGACCCCCCTTTATCCTGCAATGCAACGCTCTTTTGTTTCTGCCTTTATCCGCTATACAATGCAACCTACTTAATGCGGCCTTCGTCAGTTGTACAATGGAACCTAGTCAATGTAGCATTCGTCAGTTGTACAATGCAACCTACTTAATGCGGCCTTCGTCAGTTGTACAATGCAACTTAGTCAATGTAGCATTCGTCAATTGTATAATGCAACCTACTTAATGTAGCCTTCGTCAGTTGTACAATGCAACCTAGTCAATGTAGCATTCGTCAGTTCAATTCAACCTAGTCAATGTAGCCTTCGTCAGTTGTACAATGCAACCTAGTCAATGTAGCATTCGTCAGTTGTATAATGCAACCTACTTAATGCGGCCTTCGTCAGTTGTACAATGCAACCCAGTCAATGTAGCATTCGTCAGTTGTACAATGCAACCTTCTTAATGCGGCCTTCGTCAGTTGTACAATGTAACCTAGTCAATGTAGCATTCGTCAGTTGTACATCGAATCTACTTAATGCGGCCTTCGTCAGTTGTACAATGCAACCTAGTCAATGTAGCATTCGCCAGTTATACAATGCAACCTACTTAATGCGGCCTTCGTCAGTTGTACAGTGCAACCTAGTCAATGTAGCATTCGTCAGTTGTACAATGCAACCTAGTCAATGTAGCATTCGTCAGTTGTACAATGCAACCTATTCAATGTAGCATTCGTCAGTTGTACAATGCAACCTACTTAATGCGGCCTTCGTCAGTTGTACAATGCAACCTAGTCAATGTAGCATTCGTCAGTTGAATATCGAACCTACTTAAGCGGCCTTCGTCAGTTGTACAATCGATGCAACCTAGTCAATGTAGCATTCGCCAGTTGTACATCGAATCTACTTAATGCGGCCTTCGTCAGTTGTACAATGAAACCTAGTCAATGTAGCATTCGTAAGTTGTACAATGCAACCTAGTCAATGTAGCATTCGTCAGTTGTTCAATGCAACCTATTCAATGTAGCATTCGTCAGTTGTACAATGCAACCTACTTAATGCGGCCTTCGTCAGTTGTACAATGCAACCTAGTCAATGTAGCATTCGTCAGTTGAATATCGAACCTACTTAATGCGGCCTTCGTCAGTTGTACAATCGATGCAACCTAGTCAATGTAGCATTCGCCAGTTGTACAATGCAACCTACTTAATGCGGCCTTCGTCAGTTTTACAATGCAACCTAGTCAATGTACCCTTCGTCAGTTGTACAATGCAACCTAGTCAATATATCCTTCGTCAGTTGTACAATGCAACCTAGTCAATATAGCATTTGTCAGTTGTACAATGCAACCTATTTAATGCGGCCTTCGTCATTTGTACAATGCAACCCAGTCAATGTAGCATTCGTCATTTGTACAATGCAACCTACTTAATGCGGCCTTCGTCAGTTGTGCAATGCAACCTAGTCAATGTAGCATTCGTCAGTTGAATATCGAACCTACTTAATGCGGCCTTCGTCAGTTGTACAATGCAACCTAGTCAATGTAGCATTCGCCAGTTGTACAATGCAACCTACTTAATGCGGCCTTCGTCAGTTTTACAATGCAACCTAGTCAATGTACCCTTCGTCAGTTGTACAATGCAACCTAGTCAATATACCCTTCGTCAGTTGTACAATGCAACCTTGTCATTGTAGCCTTCGTAAGTTGTACAATGCAACCTATTTACTGCCCAAATCAGTTAGTTTAAACATATTTTATTGTTCAAAAATGACAAATCAGTTGTATAATTCAACCTATGTACTGCCTATATCAGTTGTACACTGCAACCTAAGTTACTGTCTTTATCGGTTATACAGATCAACGTATGGACTGCCTTTATCAGTTGTACAGTGCAACCTATTTACTCCCTTATTCAGTTGTACATTACACCTATGTACATCATTTTAAGTTGTACAATACGACCTACTAACTGTCTTCATCACTTGTACAATACAACCTACAGTACTTACTGCCTTTATCGCCTTTTAATCAGTTGTAAAATGAAACCTACTTATTGCCATTATCAGTTATACAATGCGACCTACTTGGTGCCTTTATCAGTTGTACAATGCGACCTACTTACTGTCTTCATTAGCTGTCATGATAATGCGACTTTCTTAATTCCTTTAGTTGTACAATGCAACCCATTAAATGTCTTTATAAGTTGTACAAGTCGACATACTTACAGCCTTTATCAGTTGTACAGTGCAATATATTTATCGCCTCTCAATCAGTTGTACAATGCGACCTACTTGATGCCTTTATCAGTTGTACAATTTGACCTACTTACTGCTTTTGTTAGTAGTACAATGTAACCTACTAACTGCCTTTATCAGTTGTACAATATAACCTACTTACTGCCTTTATCAGTTGTACAATGTAACCTACTTTTAATACTGCCTTTATTAGTTGTACAATGTAACCTACTTACTGCCTTTATAAGTTGTACAATGTAACCTACTTACTGCCTTTATTAGTTGTACAATGCAACCTACTTACTGCCTTTATTAGTTGTACAATGTAATCTACTTGGTGCCTTTATTAGTTGTACAATCCGAAATACTTACAGCCTTTATCAGTTGTACAGTGCAATATATTGACTGTCTTTAACAATTGTATTATGCATCTGGTTTACTGTTTTTGTCGCTTGTACAATGCAACCTACTTACTACCTTTATCAGTTGTACAATTTAACCTACTTACTGTCTTTATTAGCTGTTATGATAATGCGACCTTCTTAATTCCTTTAGTTGTACAGTGCAACCCATTAACTGTCTTTAACAGTTGTTAAATGCAACCCATTAACTGTCTTTATCAGTTGTACAATGCAACCCATTAACTGTCTTTATCAGTTGTACAATGCAACCCATTAACTGTCTGTATCAGTTGTATAATACAACCCATTAACTGTCTTTATCAGTTGTACAATGCAACCCATTAACTGTCTTTATCAGTTGTACAATGCAACCTATTAACTGTCTCTATCAGTTGTATAATACAATCTATTTCTTGCCATTATCATCTTACAAAAACTCCTAAAACACAACAAAAATTTTGAAGATAAAATATGTTTAACCCCTTTGCCCCCAATCCTGCCAGTAGTCATGATTGGAACAGCCATCCTTGTTTAGCCCTTATGACCCTCCATACTCTTACTTCACAGCAGGGAGTTCCACAGCCATTCTTGTATAGCCCATATGACCCTCCATACTCTTAGTTCATACAGGGAGTTCAACAGTCATTCTTGTATAGCCCATATGACCCTCCATACTCTTAGTTCATAGCAGGGAGTTCAACAGCCATTCTTGTATAGCCCATATGACCCTCCATACTTTTAGTTCACACAGGGAGTTCAACAGCCATTCTTGTATAGCCCATATGACCCTCCATACTTTTAGTTCACACAGGGAGTTCC